AAAAGTACCTGAGATATTCACAAATAGTCAACTTTAAGTCCCTTGAAACAAATTTTTTAAAGGATGCTCATGGGTGCATGAATGCATGATGCAACAATCACACACATGATCATAAACATGGGGGCAAGGGGGGGGGTTTATAGGTTCGACGTCACGAGCATAAGGTCAATGGTACTACCCACAAGGTATGATTTAAAACTTTATCACCTACCGAACAAGGTTCTAAGAGGTTCCCAGAGTCTACATCCTTCCTTCAGATATTACCAACTTCCCGATTGACTCGGCAATTAGCAATATTCTCAGGAAAAACTCGTCCGAGCATAGTATCACGTGACAACCATTTCCATATTATTCCGTCATAGCTTCCGCGTTACACCTAAAATGCCAAGATGGGTTAAAGGTTCTACGGTCGTCAGTTTCAGCAGGTTCCCAGGTCGAAAGCATCACATCTTCCCAATTACTCAGTAAACAACACTACACGCAAAGGGGCCTCTACTGAGTGGGGGATCTCATGCCTCCTTTTTTGGGATTACTCCCTCAAAGTTAACATGACTATACCGCTCTTCCTATCTTAAGTTTTCCCAAGTCCGGGTAGAAGACTTATGATAAATCACCAAGCACCCTAAAAACCCGGAAAATCCAGACAAGCATATATACAACATATAATATACAACAAATAATAACACATATAAAGATAAACAAAGATAGGCTCAACCCACTTAGGGATGGACCAGAAATAGGTCGATGTTTCCCTAGTGAAGTCGCCATTTTTCTGTAGTGGTAGAAATGTTGAGACTAAGCCATTGGATTGACTTGACTTGCACAAATCAAATAAAATCGCCACCGCACTTTATTGTTTCCAAAGGAATGGGAAAAGATCGAATAACCCAGAAGAGGGGGAGAAAATCTAAGTTCGGGGGTTGGTTATACAAAGGGAAGGTATTAGCACCCTAAACATTACGATACTCCACAGGAACTTCTTTGTAAATTTTTGTATTTTGGCTATAAGTGTTGTATAAAAAATAGATGGTGGAGGTGAGAAAATAAATATTTTTTTTAATTTGTTCACTTTCCGCGGTTGCGAATCTTTAGTTCCTATGTACTACCTTCCGTGCAATAGGGGATCAGGGTACTCGTAGTTCACCTTTAAAAGTTTTAAAACACACGTGTGTTGGTTAATATTAAGAGATGAGACATCATCGTCTTATCCGAGTGGAGAACATACTTACTACCCAAGATTATGAGAAAGGAGAATTTGTGTCATCTCAAAGTGGAGGATATGGCTTGGATTTTAAAATCAACAAAGCCTCGCTCAACACCCAAGTGGAAAATATCTCACTTCACTACATATCACAAAAGTATAGTAGCTCGCATTACTACAAGGATTGACAAGAGTCTAATCTTTTTGAGAAAAGTTTTAAGGTAAAAAAAGCCAAAATGGAAAAATGGTTTGAATGAGGTTGATTTACTTTTTTATTACTCTCACAAAAAATGTCAAATTATTATTAAGTTGATTAAATTTTTGTTTGAGAAAATGATTTGAAAATGTATGGACATAAGTCCAAGTTTATTGTGAAAGCGGTTTGAGTTTAAAAACAAGAAGAGTTTTTAAAAGGAGGGAGAATATTTTTGAAATTAAAGAAGATGTGAGGAAATGAAGGGGCTATCATAAAGCATAAGGTAAAAGCTAGAGAAAAGAATCTTCTAACAAAAAAGAAGCCAACACTTGACACTAGGGGTGTTCAGATCCAATCCAATCCAAAAAAAACCAAAATTCGAACAGAAAAAACCAAAATCCAAATAAAGCCGATTTTTTTATGTGATTAGATCACCAGGTAGTATAATCGACCTGTTCAGTTCGGTTTACGATTGACTACATGAGAACCAAACCGGTCCAAACCAAACGAGTATTTATTCCACAACCTTTTGTATTTATGCCCTTACTGGTTCAATAATGAATAAAAGTATAAAACTATTCATCTTACGATAAACTAGGGTAGTGATTCATATCTCCAAAAACTCAGAGATTCTCAATCGTCGCGACATTTCCACCCCTAAAATAACACTTTCAATCCTCCAAATTAATTTCAAGATGAATGGAATTGATTGTAGCTGTTTCAATCCGCCGATTTCGCTCCTTGTAATTCTCAATTTAAGATACTGTTTTGAATCTCTGTTCGCAATTCTTCATCTCAATTATCGGTTCTCACTCGCAGTCGCAACAACTCACCTCAATTTGTTTTCTGGTTTCGAATCTCGGTCTGATAGGATGATATCAGTAGTAAGTAAGTTGTTCGATTCATCTCAATATCTTCACGAATCACTATTTTTGTTTGTATAGTTTGTTTTAGATTTTCATATACCAGTAACGACACTATGACTTTCATATAAGTTGTTCTAATTTTAAATTTCTTTTATTTTTAAAGGAATGATCACAGTTACATCCTCTGATCCATTTGCTTCATCTACTCAATCCGATATTATTAGAAACCATATTCAGGTATCAAAACTTAATTTTAAGTGGTTTAAATTTTCAATTTTGTTTTGTGAGGGATGTGTAAATTGATTGTAAATTGCTTCATTTGTGGCGTTAATGGCTTCTGGAGAGATGAACCAGCAAGAGAGTTTTTGTGAGTTAATGGCTTCTGGCGTTAATGGCCAATGGCTTCTGGCGTATATGTCACTATGAACATTGTTGGATCTGATCTGTTTCTTTAAACTTATTTTCTTGCTAAACAACCTTTTGAACTGCTACATCTATAACAACCTTTTATTTTTACCTTCTTTTTGATCTTGAGTTGGTGAGAGAATCACCTTGGTGTTGTTATTTAGTTCTCTGTTATTGTTTGTCAGTCTTATGTTTGAGGTAATTTGGGTGCTAATGAGGAATAATAGAATGAAGAAACCTACAAGTAAATACCTGAAAGTACAGTTTTTAAAGTTTGGGTTTAAATCCTTTATTTGCATATCAATACCAAATTTTCAGGAGAGTAAACATAGTTATTCTATACTGAGTGTGGGATTAGATTTGCATTATTTGGGAGTCATTTCATTTGTCAAGTGTGACTTTAGATTTTTTGGAAAGACAAACTAGAATCACCTATCAACATATAAAATATATATGTTCTGCTTCTCTTAGATGACAATCACCAAGACTATTTCTTGTCTAGTTAAGTATTACAGTAGAATGTTATTGAATTTTTTCAGATCACAGTTTTGTGATTTCTCATAGATGAATATTCAGTAGAATTGCTAGAGCTATTAATTGAATTTCTCAAATGAAAATTAATTGAAATGAGTCAAGGGTGGTTAGCTGACTTACGGTTGTCAGGAAGCTAGTTACAAGGGAAGCTAAAACAATGATAATTTGTTACATTACATGTGTTTTATATTATGAGGGAGACTCTATACAAGCTCTCGTGAACTTGAGTTAAGTTATATTAGCTTTATGCTTTCTTGTACAAGAATGAAAGCTCTGCTATGTCAGTGTTTATGTAACGAAAGAAATGAAGTATTGATACTTGAGAGTTAGAAATTAAGACCAACGCACATTAACAGATTGTACCATTTATTGATCCATCCACGATATGACAACAATAGTATTGAGGAATATAGTAGTTTACAAATTTTCAAATTTAGATGCTCCGTACAGAACAAGAAATTGACTATAATATATATTGTGGTGGTGTTAATAAATGGAAATGTTTAAACTGTGAGCCATTTGTTTTGAAACTGTAATATATATTTTATTATATACTGCTCAAACTGTAATATATATTGTCTTTTGCTCCATGTTTTGTTTTGCTGGATGTAATGACTAGAGGTTGGAGCTTTAATAAAGTCACTGAAGTGGAAATAATTTATGTTGGATCCTACATTGCAGGGTGAAACAACCGAACCTCCACCTACATTGGAACAAATTAATGAAGTGAATAATGATGAAGAAAATGCTAATAAGAAAAGGAAAGTTGGAGAAGCTTCAACACGGGCAACACCCAATGATCCTTAATAGAAAACCTATTAAACCTAGATCTTGTACTCGGGAAAATTTTACAAAAATAGGATCAAGAGCTAAGCGTAACTGGTGTGATGTAACATATGCTACTGATTCACAAAGAAATGGCACTAGTAATTTGAAACCCCATCTGTTGAAGCAATGTAAGAATTTTCCCAAAGAGTCTATTGATCCCACTCAACAGACTCTTGTTCTTCAACAACTGAAAAAAGAAGAAGGAAATGGATTCAGTAGTGTTCTCATTAGTGTCCATTTTGATGCTGAGGAATGTAGGAAAGCGTTAGCTAAGATGATTATTGTTGATGAGTTAGCTTTTAAGTTTGTAGAGGGAGAGGGGTTTCTTCAGTTTATGAGTGTCGTTCAACCTAAACTCTCAATTCCTAAAAGGATTACAGTTGCTAGAGATTGTTGGGATTTGTACATGAGTGAGAAACAAAAGTTAAAAAGTGTGTTAAATAAATCAAATTAATGTGTCTGTCTTACAACTGATTGTTAGACACCAGTGCAAAATTTGAGTTATATCTGCCTCACTTCCCATTTCGTTGATCATGATTAGAAAATTCATAAAAGGATTCTGAATTTATTTCCAATTGTGAATCACAAAGGAGTAACCATCGGTAATAAAATTGAAAAACGTTTGGAGGAAAGGCTAATAGGTAATGTTTTCACCATTACGGTTGATAATTCTAGTTCTAATGATGTCGCCATCACTTACTTGAAAAATACAATGAATGATTGGAATTCACATCCATTGAAAGGGGAATATATGCATGTTCACTGCTGTGCACATATTCTGAATTTTGTGGTGCAAGATGGACTCAAAGACTATTATTCTTCAATTTGTAAGATTAGGAATGCTGTTAGATATGTTCGTGCATCTCCAGGTCGTATGGATAGGTTTAAAACTTGTATTAAGGAAGCTAGGTTACAAGAAAAGTAGATCATTCAGTTGGATATTTCCACTAGGTGGAATTCCATATATCTCATGCTTGAAAGTGCATTCAAGATTCAGAAAGCATTTAAGAGATTGAGTGAGAAGTGTGCTGATTTTGTGTTGATGAAAGGTGGTATTCCAAATAATGTGGATTGGGATAATGCAAAGTGTTTTGTTAATTTCTTGAAAATATTTTTTGACATTACAAAGAAAGTTTCAAGTTCTACTTTTGTAACATCTTCTCAATATTTTAACGAACACATTAGAATATTGACTACTTTGAAGGGGTGGATAGAATTAAAAAGTTCAGATAACTTGCTTGGAAACATGGCTGAAAATATGAAAGTTAAGTATGATAAATATTGGGGTGATGTTGAAAAAATGAATAAGCTGATATTTGTTGCTGTTGTGCTTGATCCTCAACATAAGATGCAGTTTGTTAGGTGGGGCTTTAACAGGCCATATGAAAAGGATGTTGCCTAATCTTTGTCTAAAAAAAATAGAGGATTATATAAAATATTTGAGAGTTATAGGCTTTTACTTGGTAAAGGTCAATATGAAAATCCTACACAATCCTCTCATGAAGTGGATTCGATAGAACTCAAAGCACCCGAGGATGCATTTGCTTTGGAGGTTGAGATGGACATGAATCTTAATGATAGCATAAATGAAGTGGATTTGTATCTCCTGAAGAAATTGGAGAAAAAAGTTCTGGTTTTGATATCTTGAATTGGTGGAAGGTGAATTCCAACAAGTATCCTATTCTTGGTCAAATGACTAGAGATGTATTGGCCATGCCTGTGTCTAATGTAGCTTCAGAATCTGCTTTCTCTACCGGAGGTAGAGTGCTTACTTATTATAAAAACTCTCTTACGCCAAAAACAGTTGAAGCTTTAATTAGTACACAAAATTGGTGTAAATCTTCCACGGTATCAATCGATATTGAAGAGCTTGTGGATGAGTTAGAAAATTGTAATTAGGTAAATTACTTATAACTTGAATTATTTTTTTGTTGGATTACTTGTATTATTTATAACTTGAATTATTTTTTTGTTGGATTACTTGTATTGTTTATAACTTGAATTACTTAATATTTTGTAGAACTTGCTCCAATCCCACAATTGAATGAAGGTGTGTCTGATATAGATTCTGATTAGCAATCGATATACGCATTATGAAAGCTGCAGGAACTGTTGGAGCTATTGGACTGTTGGAGCTGCTGAAACTATTGTTTTTGTTATTATTTATACTATTATCTGTTTCTGTTTCTGTTATACTTTATGCCGCTGAAAGCTGCTGTTTCTGTTATACTTTCTGCTGTTGGAACTCAATTGATGTTGTTACATTTCTGTTATGTTGTCGGGTTTAGTGATGTTGTTACATTTTTGTTTCTATTATGCTGCTGTTTATGTTATTTATACTTTATTCTGCTGTTGGAACTCAATCTAATGTTGTTCTGTTGCTAATTTAATGTGTCTATGGTAATATATATATATATATATATATATATATATATATATATATATATATATATATATATATATATATATATATATATATATATATATATATATATATATATATATATATATATATATATATATATATATATATATATATATATATATATATATATATATATATATATATATATATATATATATATATATATATATATATATATATATATATATATATATATATGTACTATTAATTTACACTATGGTAATATTACTAATTTTCACTATTCTTCTAATTTACACTATGGTAATATTACTAATTTAATGTAAATTGTTATGTACTATTCTACTAAAATTGTAAATAATGTAAATAATATTACTAATTTACATTATAATGCTAATTTACACTATTACTGTTAATGTAAATGTAAATAAATTACACTATAATTCTAATTTACACTACTTATACGAAAATTGTAATATCCATTAAAATTGTAATATTACTAATTTACACTATAATGCTAATTTACACTATTACTGTTAATGTAAATAATTTCTATTTTAAAACCAAATAAAATCGAATTAACTGAACCGAATAAAACCGAATAAATTAGATCGGATTGGATTGGATTTTTTGTGGTGTCATCCAAAAACTGATCCAAATCGCATGCTCTTTGAATCTTTGGATCAAATGACTTTTTATCTCAAAACTGATCCAAACCGAACCGTGAACACCCCTACTTGACACAATGATTCAATATAGAATTCCCATCCTTTGGATTGAAACCAAACAAGAAAAGATAAACCTCTTAAGAAAATCAAACTTCAAGAGCATTAAGTCTTCACAAAAATTGGACAAAGTAACGGCTGTATACAGATGAATCCCCAATCACAGACAAAACATATAATCAAAATAACCTATACACAAATCAAACAAATAACCCAATGTCTTGGGGTAAACCCCAAGAGCTCCAGACAAAATAATAATTGAAGTCACAAGGTTTCAAGGTAGGTCAAAGCTTCTAATCCTAAGTCCAAGAAGTCCATAACTCCAAAATGCCAAGAATAGTAACCAAATAGTCAAGGTAACATTAAAGCTTTTATTGTTCAAGTTGGTTATTAGGTATCTTCAAAAAGAAAATGAAAAGCTCAAGCGAGCAATGATGAAAATAGCATGAAATATGGATGCTAAAATAAATGGTGCTTAAGCATAAGATAAAAGCATAAAAATAAAGTTAATTGTTATAAATTAGGAGTTAGTTGAATGACCATCTTGAAACTTGCATTTGAAACTCATTAGAAGATTGATAAAATCAAATCCTCTCAACAACAAGTTTCATTTGTTTTTTGTCAAGTATATCATTCATTAAAATTCTCAAGGCAACAATAAATGATCAACGATATTTAAGTGATTCACTTTGACCAAAGCTTATGAAGATTCATTAGAGGATTGATAAGACCAAAGCCTCCTAACAATGAATCTCAAGGTTATTGGATCAAAGGTTTCAAATAAACATACTTGGGCTTGCAAACATGGGTTTGGGTCACGAATGATTATTTCTCGAATCGGAACAAAATTTAGCGCTATGTTAAGCAATCGTAAGTAGACTTATATAGAAGTCACACCTATTTTAAGGCCGGTCAATAGTGATCTTTGTGCCACATGTTTAGAGAAATGATATATAGATCATTATCCAACAACATATAGTACAAGTGAGAAATGGATAAGATGAAAGGGGAGGGGATATGTTAGATGAAATTTTAGTTTCAAATATCGTCAACATCATTCATCCATCTCGGTGGATTTGGTTTTTCAACCTATCAACACCCAAGATCCAATGGTGTTGAACAATTTGTCCCAAAATAAACCCCAAGTCAGTATCACATGCCATACCAAGAATTAAACAAGAATTATGTACAAAAGTTCTCAATTACAAACCTTGATCAAAAGTAAAACCCTAAACACAATCCTAAGTCAAAAATTAGATTAAAAAGAAAAATGGATTGTAAAAATCATGATAATTGAACTCTAGCTTCCTAAAGATCTATAAAAGTAAGAAATGGGGTTTAGGGTTCTTGGATTGAGGTAGAGGCTTGATTTAAAAATGCAAACATTGAATCTAGCTAACAAAATGCTTAAACTAGAGGTGTTTTGAAAAACAATTTGTGAAAATTATGAAATCACATGTTAAAATTCAAGGAAAATGATATTTATGACCTCATTTTGTACAAGCACTCTAAGCAAATTTATTTCTAATTCTACAAGCATGGGAAGTTAGAATTTTCAAGCAATCAATGTGAATGATCAACTAAAACCCTAAAAAGGAGAAATTAAGTTCAAAATTAATCTACTTAATCTAAAATTCCAATAAGTTTGGTGTAAGACCCCCTAAATTTCAAGAAAATTCTAAGGACCAGTAAGTATATTTTTCTTGAATTTTATCCCAAAATAAAGAATTAAACAAAAATTATTTACACAATATACGCAAAAAAAGCAAAGAAAAAGTGATATAACCAAACAAATGATTTAATTGGCATCCCATGAATTTTGTAAAACTTGATAAAAATTATTTTCAATAAGATGTCTCATAAAGAAGCTCAAAAAAATTTTATGGATTTTTTTATTTAGTAGAAATAGGAAAATAAAATTCTAAAACAAGTAGAATGATTAAAACCCTAATTAAACTACTTAAGTTTATTTAATCATAAAAAATGATAAAATTAAAAAATAAAAATCAGAAAGTGAAAATACGCTGAAATTAGAGTTTAAAATATTTTTCTAATGATTTTTGAATTAAGAAAAGTATTTATACAAAATTAGAGAAAACTTAGAAAATTAAAACATATTGTAAGCCTATTACACCTATTATTAACATAAAGCATTGTGGAAAGTTTTAGAACATGCTCAATAAAAAAAGCCATGTAATCATCCCTACCACGTGAAACAACTTTCCAAGATAACAGTCAGTTTCAAAAAACAATCTCCAGAGCTTCATATCTCTCTGTATACTCCATGAAATTGAGTGAAATCAAAATAAGAAATGAAGATCTCGTGGCATAGAACAACATAGATTCAAATATTTCTTAAAACGATGCGTAGATCATAGAGAAATTAAAGCTTGAAAATCAATGATTAACACATGTTCAAAAAACTAGTTTACACACACAAACTTCCAGTCCAGATTTCTTCCTCAATTCAAACTTAAATCACATGATTCAAAAACCAAAATGCTCACAAGATAACAAAGATTAACATGATGCTCTTAAAATTTTCAAAGATCTATGGATAAAAATGAAATGCAAATTGCAAGCTCCGGAAAATAGGAAATTCAAGTTGAATCAAAAAAGTTCACAGTCACGATTTAATTTAAAATTGCATAATAAAATCAACTTAGACACAATATCCGGCCAATTTCATGATCATGAACAAAATTTCAACATGTAAAAGTTCTTAAAATTTGAGATGTAATTATGAGATGGGGGTTATGGGATGCTTACTTTAGGAAGAAGATTTTTAGATGCTTGTGCTCAAATAAAGAGCTAGAAATCCAGAGATGCTTGACTTGGAGATTTAGAGGAAGTTCAATGGAAGGAAGCATGAAGGAAGCTTAGGAGAAAAAATAGGAAGCTTGCTCGAGCACCAAAGAAAAAAGAGGAATTCTTGGATCTATTCTCTCTCTTCAAATGTGATTTCCCGTGTAACAATTCCTTGTGCTGAGTGAGGTGTAGTGGCTGCTTTTTATAAAGTGAGAAAAGATTTTAACAAGTTTGCTTGGAGGGTATAAGAGGCAATAAAATAAGGTGGTGAGGTGATTCCACATTTTGCCTTTATTCTTGACCTCTTGGATGTCTTTTTGGGTAAGTGAGCAAAGCATGGGCGTGTGAGCTGGTAGGATGGTGTCTTGGTTGATGCAAATCCCATGCATTTCCATACAGGTTTTACCAAAATCATGATCACAATTTCATATCATCATATCTCTCTACAGTGTGCATGAAACGTGACAAAGTTTGAATCAAAATTAGAGAAGACATAACGTACTTTAACTTTCATGTTCAAAGATTCTCAAAAGAAAGCTTGAATTAATGAGATAAGTATCCATGAATGTATGCACATCATGTGTTTGCTGGAATGCCTGGCTTCGCGCGCGCGTGACATGCCTTGTTGTTGGGCAAAATTCAGCTTACATGCCATCTACTTCTCATGATCGTATCTTGAAATGTAGGAACTATTTTGAGAAAATTCCTGAAGCAAAGTTGTTCATAACACATAGACCTTGATCTTTGATGTTGGAAATTTTTTCAAAATAATCAATATTTCAAGGAGAAAAATGGTGGTGAAGACATGCCCATGAACTGTTTGATGAAATGCTTGGCTTGGCGCGTGCGTGACTGGGCAAAATGCCATATCCAGGCTCCAGATCTTAAGCATTGTATCTCTCTCTACACTTGACCATTTAAGATGATTCTTGAACCAAAAATGAAAATAAAACTTCAAACTCCAACTTTGATGTTGCCAACTTTTTTATTTGAGCCCAAATGGACATTCAAAATTAGGCATGAAGAAATCAAATTTTTGTGCATATTTGGAAATTTCACTAAGAGTCCAAAAGTTTCCAAGCTCCATAAGTTTTTCTCCTTTTATTTTTTGGACTTGACGCCTCTAATACAAAGTTGAATAATTTTGTATCCTCTTTCCA